TTTCAATTACATTTTTAACCCAAAAGTTGGGTTAGTCCATATTTGACCCAAAGTTGGGTTAAAACAACCCAGCATTTTTTAGAGTGTAGCAATTATGCATAAAGTGTAATACAGAGAATTAAATGCTACAAATTAAAGGTTCTTTAAATCATTAATTCCATGTATATATGTATGTACATATGTATGTATGTGAATTTTATTTGATTAACGCATGATAAGTCTGGTATCATTAAAAAAACGCTTTACACTGAGTTAAAAACAAGACTCAAAACAACCAAGTAATCAATAAAATGTTTCCTTCATCATACTTTCTCTTTTGTCTCACTGAGTATTATTCATTCATTCATTCAAATTTTATTTTATTAATGCAAACCAAAAAATGATTAATGATAAGTTTGGCATCAATAAAACAAGTTTTACAAACAAAAGACTCAAATCAATCAATCTGTCTGTCAGTCAAATAAATAACTAAATAAATAAGTAAATTAATATTCCTCTATTTTCTCATCATATTCATCATACTTTCTCGTTTGTCCCACTGAGTGCATTGAGTAATAATTACACGTTTTATTTATTGTTTTTAATTTTATTTGATGGATGCAAACCAAAAGCAATATATATAAATTATACATAATTAATGATAAATCTGGTATCATTAAAAGACAGCTTTACACAGAGTTAAAAAAGAGACTCAAAACAATCAAATAAATAAATATTTCCTGCATTTTCTTGTCACATTGATCATACTTTCTCTTTTGTCCCACTGAGTACATTTATTTATTTATTTATTCGTTTGTCCGTTCGTTCGTTTGAATTTTATTTAATGGATGCAAACCAAAAGTATATTTATTAATTTAATTTATACATAATTACTGATAAATTTGGTATCATTAAAAGCTTTACACTGAGTTAAAAACAAAAGACTCATCACAGCAATCAACGAACTAACTAATAAATACATCAACACATAATTATTACTCAATGCGTAGATAAAAGGCAGGAAATAGAGCGAGTGAGAGAAAGTGATTTTATAAGCGGAAGAAGGGAAAGGATGAAATGGGAGGAACAGAAGGGAAGGAAAGAGAGAGAGAGAGAGAGAGTGTGGGAGACGGATCTGAGAAGTTAAAACCCTTCTGAAAGCAGCAATCACTTTCCAAATACAGAGAGTTACACAAGCGGATCCATCAGATGCCCTCTGTGTGGGAGACAGATACTGAGCACAACAGCAGCACATCATGCCATGATTCAGGTGCTTCAATGCATTGTGCTCTTCTGTAAGTGTCAATGCCCTTAATATTGTTTTTAACTAAGCCTCATCGTTAGGCGTGTAATGATTCACTTGTTTTCTTGGTGTATCTATGCCGATGCATATGCATCAATCCTGGAACATGGATTTTTGAATCATGAATCATTTGTTTTGGTCGAGAATCTATTTAAAACGTTAAAAAACGAATTAATCATGATTTGGTAAAATATCATTCAATATTTATATATATATAGTTAAATGTGATGTTTCCAGACTGAGAAATCTCATGGAAAAAAAAAAAAAAATGGAATACTTTCCTAAGTGCGCTTGACTTAAAAATATTTTATTATAGTTTATTAATATTTAGAATTAGTTTGTATTTTAATATTTTCTGTTTCAATTTAAATTTTAGTTAAAGCTTAAGTAAATTGATTGTGTTGTTTGTTTTCTTAAATATGTGTATATTATGTATATGTACATATGTATATAGTTTTTATAATTTTTAGTTTTAGTTTATTAATTTTTATTTCAGGTTTAGTTATTTTAGTACTCAAGTTAAATGAAATGAAAATGCGAAATGTTGAAAAAAATTGCTGAAAAAATATGTAAGTTTTTTAAATATTTGATTTTATTTCAGTTACATTTTTTTTTTGTTTTAATTTTTTTACCCTGGTTTAAAAATGACCTTCATACGATTTTTAGCATTTTAGCATGATTCTTGACTGAAACAACGATTCACAGAATAACAGGGAATTTTAAATTGCTATTTCCAGACCAAGAAAACTCATGGAAATATATTTTTTCTTCTTTTTTTCTTCTTATTTTAAATGGAATATGGAATACTTTCTTAATAGTTTATTATAGTAATTAGTTTTAATTTTAGTATAATGATTTAGATTTAATTTAATTATAGTAATTTTATTGCATGTTTTTGTTTTTTCAGATATTTTTTATTTTTAGATAAAAAAGTTCGTCAAGACAAACTTTAGGTTGGCTTGAGAAGCCTAGACTTAAAGCAGTTAGCAGTTGTAATAGCCTGAAGTTTGAACATTTAGATAGATCATATAGATGATGATAACATGATTCTAGCATGATTAGCATGTTTTTAGCATGATTAGCCTTTTAGTAGCATATTGCTGGCATGATTAACAATTTACTAGCGTGTAGCTAGCATGTTTCTAGCATGATTAACATGTTACTAGCATGTTGCTAGCAAGATTAGCAAGTGATTAGCATGTTTGCTAACATGACTAGTAAGAAACTAGCATTTCGCTAGCATGATTAGCAAGTTACTAGCATGTTTCTAGCATGATTAACATGCTACTAGCATGTTGCTAGCATGATTAGCAAATGACTAGCATGTCGTTAGCATGATTAGCAGGTTACTAGCATGTTGCTTGCATGTTTCTAGCATTATGATTAGCATGTTACTAGCATGATTAGCAAGTGACTGGCATGTCGCTAGCATGATTAGCACGTTACTAGCATGTCGCTAGCATGTTTCTAGCATGATTAACAAGTCACTAGCATGTCGCTAGCATGATTAGCATGTCACTAGCATGATTAGCATGTTACTAGCATGTTGCTAGCATGATTAGCAAGTGACTAGTGACTTTATTTACTAGCGTTATTTACTAGCGTTTATTTACTAGCATGTCGCTAGCATATTTCTAGCATGATTAACATGCTACTAGCATGTTGTTAGCATGATTAGCAAGTGACTAGCATGTCGCTAGCATGATTAGCACGTTACTACCATGTCGCTAGCATGTTTTCTAGCATGATTAGCAAGTGACTAGCATGCTGCTAGCATGATTAGCAAGTCACTAGCATGTCGCTAGCATGATTAGCATGTTACTAGCATGTTGCTAGCATGATTAGCAAGTGACTAGCATGTTTCTAGCATGATTAGCAAGTGACTAGCATGCCGCTAGCATGATTAGCATGTTGCTAGCATGATTAGCAAGTGACTAGTGACTTTGATGCAAAAAACAATCTTAGTTTGTCTTTTTCTTACCTAAGACACATTAGGAGAAGCATTTACATAACCTATCAATGCACTTTAAAAAATACAGAATCAAATCATTAAACGAACTCGAATTGAATCTCATTGTGAAACGCATCGAATTGAATTATTCTGAATTTGAAAAAATCATTCCTGAATCAAATCAAAATCATTTCGCACCGGTTTGTGTCAATAAAGTAATGTGCCTGTGTGAAAGAAGAGGCTGACAGCTCCTGACACTCAGTTCATTCAATACGCTCTCCCATCAGCTGGAAAACTATATAGTCTCATAATGAAACGACATACCTGTTCCTCTTGCTCCAGAGGCACTTTGGGTTTGACTGCCAGAATGAGGTCAGGGGTCTCGTCCCAAAGCTCTCCAGGGTTTTCATAGATGTGTCTGTTTGCTTTCAGCCCCACGTTATCATATACATGCCTGACAGACAAACACATTCAAAGAGGAGAAACATTAGTTAAGCAGAATACATAAAAGAGAATATTTTACAGCATCCAAAATACTACTTTACTTTTGAATGAAATAAAATGTGTTATTGTGCTTATAAATAGGAACGCTTTCCAATTAAAGGGGTCGTGCATAATCTTGGTTACCATAGAAGTGCACTTTAGCATACTTTAATAAGAGTATTTATTATGGAAATAATATATTTTTAAAAAATAAACTTGAGTACGAACTGAATGTGATTTTTCAGACACTACATGTTAATTTTAATTTGATGAAAATGGATTGCAATTTAAATTTATGTCTATTGTCTTTTTGAAATATGGTTAAAGTACTGCTGAATGTACTGACAAGCATTTATGATAAACTAAAATATACTTTATTATCATTTCTATCGAAACTAGTGTCATGTATTTATTTGTAATTACACATTTAAAATAATGAAATTGTGATTTAGTACATCTAAAACATACTAACTTTATAGTGTAATATTTAATAACGCTAAAGTTAAAATTATAATCAAGTACTTTACAGGTGTTTTAGTATGTTCCCTAAAAACGTAGTTCTTTAAAGCACAACAAAATATTATTAAAACAACAGATTTACAATGTATTTTAACTAAACTTTGATGTAAAATTGTAATTATTACAAAGTGTATCTTTTTAAAGTTAAGAAACAGTCCAAGTGTGTTATTGTTGTTGTTAACTAAAACTAAAATAATGAAAAAAAAAATTGTTTTTGTGAATTAAAATAAAGCTAAAATAAAAGAAAATATCCTGTAAATGTTAGATGAACACTTAAAATTATCTTTAAAAATGTAGTAGATTTAGTAATTAAACTTAAAAAAAAAAAGTAGTTTTAATAATTTTAGTGTAAAAAAAAAACCTAACTGGAATAAAATAAGTTGAAATACTAAAATTAATAAAAAATAAAATAAAAATAAATTAAAGACAAATATATAACAAAAATAAATAAAAATGTCATTGTAAAACTACTTACACTATAATTAACATGCCAACTGAAAATGCAAAAATAAAACCTACTTCAAAACGCTAATAAAAACTATAATAACATATAAATAATAGTAAAATAACGGTTGCAGAAAGATAATTTTGGACCCTGATTTAATCTGTTTGTTAAGGAGTAAACAGGACATTTTTAGAGTGAAATCAGAAGCAGACCAACAGAACAGACAGAACCGCATACCCTTCAATGATGTCCTGGTACGGAGCGTGTCCTTCTAGCGAGTAGCTCCGTGTGAGAGAGACGGGGGTGACTTCAGGGCTCTGGTTCTTCATGCTGTCCTGCAGGGAAGTCGCCCGTAAGAGAGGCAGGCTGGGTGGAGAGAGGAGCGAATCTGTTTCCATGGGCTCCGGAAATCCCATCTGCTCTCCAAGAAGCTCCTGCTTTAGAGTTTCACTGTCTGACGTCTTATTTTCAATCTCTTTCTTCTCCTCTTTCTCTCCTCCGCCGCCATCAACCTCAACTTCTTCATCGTCATCCAGAACCCAGGCCTCGCCTGACCGTCCCTCTCCGGATTTGCTCTCCGCGTCCTGGATGGCCTTCTGGTAGAGCTCAGAGAAACTCCTGAACTCAGACAAGCACAAGAACAACGGGAAAAGAACGTGAAGAACAACAAACAAAGTTTGAGCTGATTTTTTTCAGCGTACGCATTTCACTGTTAGTCATGGATGAAGAGATCAATGCTGCTATTTTGGTGTTCTTTTTTGAAGTATATTATATAATCAAAGACTTACATAAATCATGCTGAGTAAGTCGCTGTATATAGGATTTGAAAAAAATGCAGTTTTGTGTGTGTGTGTGTCAGTGTGTGTGTGTGTGTGTGTGTGTCTGTGTGTGTGTGTGTGTGTGTGTGTGTGTGTGTCTGTGTGTGTGTGTGTGTGTGTGTGTGTGTGTGTCTGTGTGTGTGTGTGTGTGTGTGTGTGTGTGTGTCTGTGTGTGTGTGTGTGTGTGTGTGTGTGTGTGTCTGTGTGTGTGTGTGTGTGTGTGTGTGTGTGTGTCTGTGTGTGTGTGTGTGTGTGTGTGTGTGTGTGTCTGTGTGTGTGTGTGTGTGTGTGTGTGTGTGTGTCTGTGTGTGTGTGTGTGTGTGTGTGTGTGTGTGTGAGTGTGTGTGTGTGTGTGTGTGTGTGTGTGTGTTGGTTTGGATCAATAAGCATTATGAGAGTTGAATGACATTTGACCAGCTGGTGAAACACTGACTAAAACATTTTCATGTCAATAGAATGAGGTCTGTCCTTCATTCATTTGCTCCCTCTCTCTCTCTATCCATCTGTTTCCCTCCCTAGGGAGCATATATAAAAAAATATACAATACAAATGCATAAGTACAAATATATATAGATAGATGAGGCATTATAATAATTGTCAGTCCACAACAATTTATTTTGTCAGCCTAATTATTTTCACTACCGTTCAGAAGCTTAGGGTCTTTAAATAAATGAATAAATACAACGTTTTTGGAATTAAACTGCTCAGAAGTAACAGTAAATACATTTATAATGTTACAAAAGATTCTATTTCAAATAGATGCTGTTCTTTTGAACTTTCTATTCATCAAAGAATCCTTAAACATGTATCACGGTTTCCACAAAAATATGAAGCATAAAAAACATTGACGTTTTTTAAAAAACAAAAAACGTTTTCAACATTGACAATAATAAGAAATATTAATAATTGAGCACAAATAATAATTGATAATAGCTGAGCAGCAAATCAGCATATTAGAATGATTTCTGAAGGATCATGGGACACCGAAGACTGGAGTAATGATGCTGAAAATTCAGCTTTGATCACAGAAATAAATATAATTTTAAAATATATTCACATAGAACACAGTTCTTTTAAATCTTAATAATTTTTCAAAGAATTACTGTTTTACTGTATTTTTGATCGAAAAAATTCAGCCTTGGTTTATGGAATCTTGTTTCCGCCACGGGATAAAAAAAATGAAAAAGGTAATTGCAACTTTTTATCTCACAATTTCACATTTCTGAGAAAAAAAAAAAAAGTCAAAATTGTGAGATAAAAGGTCACACTACCAATTTTTTTTGTCCGTGGCATAAAAATAAACAAAAAATGTAAAATAAAATAAAAAAGAATTATGAGATGTAAACTGGGAATTCTAAGAAAAAAAGTCAGAAATGGATTGCAAGATTTAAACTCAGAATTCTGAGAAAAAAGTCAGAATTCTGAAGTTATATCTTGCAATTCTGTGTTTATACAGTACCTTGCAATTCTGAATTGTGAAGTAAAAAGTTGCAATTACATTTTTTAATTCTGGGAAATTTCCAAAAATTGGCTTTCATTTTGGGCAGCAAAGAGACTTCTTTCAAAAACGTAAAAAAACATCCTTATCAACCTTAAACTTTTTAGTGGTGGTTTTGAACGGGATACACATTACATTTACCATCATTAATTACATTATCAACAATACTCCATCCTCCACTCCCTGCTTACTATTTTTAACTCGTCAGCCCACTTTTCTCTCAAAATCACTGCAGTGTATGCATTTTTACGTCATCCCCCCATTTTATCCACTTCCTCTGACACACAAATAACCTGTCACCTCTATTACCTGCGTGGTTTTCCGTTCTCGTCTGGAGGAATCCACAGAGACGAACCACACGAGCCCCCAGCTGCAGGCCGCCACTCTCCGCGTATCCGAACCGCTGGAGCTCCGTTACAAAGCCTTCCTCGCTCATCAGGAAGCCCGGCTGGCCGACACCGTCCCGCAGGGGAATGACCTCACGCGCCTCACAGCCTCGCGTCACCAGCTGTGGGGAAGTACAGGAGCATCATGTTAAAACAGCATACAGCATATCACAAAGAGATCCAAGTCGTAACCCTGTAAAGCCTGCCAAATGAAATAGTAGTCAGAATTGTTTTTGTTTTTTTAATTAAACAGTTTATTGAACCATTAGACACTAGAAAAATATGCTATTGTTAAGTATCATGTTTGATACATCAGGCTTTTATGGCTCATATAGTATTATACGGTGATAATATGGAGGTAAAAACAGCTCAGTTCTATTCAAAGACTCAAACTGAGCAAAAATTTGGTGCAGATGCTGATTTTTATATGGCCAAAAGTTGATGAAATGTTGGTAGCTTGTAATGTGAATCAAACAGTACAGCAGATACTTACATAAAATGATATAGGCTAAATATCAGTTGTCACTCCATATCTCCAAATAATATCTTAGTAAGATTATATTTAAATGCTTAGTTTGATGATCAAAACATATAATGCAATGCAATAAACTGATGATTGAGAGATGAACAAATAAACGTTCCTCAAAAGCCTGATGATCAGATTTGATACTGATACATTTTAATATGATTTTTTTCTACAAAATGATTTCTGGATAATCACAGATTTCACAGTAGAATCCCGAGCTGAAGGTATACATTTGTACAATTATACTAAAAGGCCTTTTACTTGTTAAAAAGGTCAGTCACATGAAAGAAGTAGTAGATTGTGTACAACAGGTTCAGCCAAGTTTTGATTATGTTAATAATTTAGAGGCCTTAATAATTTGAGTATCAAATATGATACTGTGGGCTTTATAGGGTTAAATTCAAGAGAAGTGAAGGGAAGATGTTTTGCAAACAAGGCAAATATGATAAGCTTGCATTAGATGTTTTAATTATAAATAAATAACTTCAGTATAAATCAATAAAAGTATCTGGGGAAATTCACTAAAATAAACTGCATCTGAATTGTTTTTACCACTTTTATGTTGTATAAAAGGCCCTGAAAAAATAACTTTAGGTTACTCATGTAACACCCATTTCTCTGCAACAGAGCGACAGAGAGAGGAAAATTCCCAGAATGTGCAAAAATCACACCTTTAGGGATACAACAGATTGTTTTTTTTTTATTTATTTGATTTTACTGTACATACTTGAATGGCGGCTGAGACTGTGCTTTCAGGACCACGGACAGATCTCATACTAGAATCGTTGGCTTACAAGAATTTAATAGTCATCAACTTTCATAAACCTGCACATATCAGGTTGCTATTGCTGCAAGATAAACCTGGGTGGTAGAAAAGGCTTTGCCATTCTGGAAAGGGATGGACAATCTTTCCACACTTGAGATAGGACACAAATTTGCAAATGCAATTTCACTAACTCCCATGACTCCTGACATTATATTGAGGTCTTATGAAGCGAAACGATCGGTGTGTGCAAGAAAATAAACATTATTCACAACAATATTACTTGTAATCCAGAGCCTCAGGCAAACGGGGAAGTCTGATTCTTTTCCGCGAACTGGTTATTTCGGATAGTTCGTTTCAGTTAACTTGATCAAATAACTGATTCACCAGTTCGTTTATGTAAACATGCAATGATGTAACGTATGCACAATTACATAATTAAAACACCCAATATTGATGTAAAATATGGATGTTTTACGTGTTTAAATCATATAAACTTGTCTTCATCAGCTCACCTTTATTTACGTTTACGCATGCGCATATTAGCGGCTCATCAGCCTTCGGTCCGAGCCGAACTGTTTCCTCCTCAGTTCAGTGACTGTTGGAGAACTGGAGCGCTGAGTAATTTAATTAATCAGAGGATCAGATGCGATGCTGTAATGGCTCATTTTGAGTCGGAGTGACTGTCAGGCATCCGAAAGTGAGTTTTGACTGAGTAACTTGTAGAGCTGTGCTGCTCGAGCCGCAAACTGATTCAGACGGTTCAGTGCGATTTGGTGAAATGGTTTGTCCTGTTCACTAAAAAGAACCGGTTCAAAAGAATGATTCGTGAATCGGACATCACTCTGGACTGTTTGCCTGAGGCTCTGGATTACAGGTAATAATGTTGTAAATAATGTTCAGTTTCTTGCACAGACTGATTGTTTCGCTTCATAAGACCTCGATATATCGTCGGGAGCTACGTGTATTAATTTTGTCTTGCCTGTATATGCTTTTTTGGACTATCAAGTGATGGTAGTCGTTGACTTGCATTTTATGAATCACCAAGGACCACGGTTTCAGCTAAAAATCTTCTTTACTGTTCTACTGAAGAAAAAATAATGGATGGCCTGAGGGTGAGTAAATTAACAGCAATTTTAAATTTTTGGGTGAACTATTCCTTTAAGTACAAATAAACAGCAAGTAACACGTTCTATTAAACATGAAATTTGAAGTAGAAAGACTGAAATAGTAGTTTTTTGTAAAAATGTACTCCAATATTTTCACATATACATTAAATCTCACCTCCAGCCTTTGGATAACCTCTTTAATATCCTCAACTTGGCTTTCCGACGTCATGACAGTCACCGCCTCGCCTCTCTCGTAGAAGATATCCAGGGAAGGGCCACCCGGAGCTCCAGGCTCAGTCACAGCCTTCCAGCCGATCACATCGCGGCAGCTGCAGTTGAATATGACGGTTCGCGTGAATCGCTCTATGAGCACGACCGACTCCGCCGATACGCCGAGCAGACAGGACAGGCTCAGACCGTTGTTCTCGCCACCCTGAACGACGGTAACGGCCCACACTAAAGCACCTGCGCTGTGAAGCTCTGCACCTTTCGCTCCCTTCAGCTTCTCTTTGCGCTTCCCGCCCAGCGACAGCAGGGGGAATTTGGTGGAAGAATCAATGGGCGTTGTGGTGACGTAGTTTTCCGCCAGGTCTTTTAGGTACTCCTGCCGCGTACGTGTGGCCATAGAGCGAAATTTCTCTGATTTCTCCGCCGCGTTCTCTGCGTTAATGGCTTTGGCGAGGAGAAAGTCACGGAAGGCAGGAGAACGTGGGAAGCGTGCACCTTTAGGGAAGAGAGGACCGAAGAGAGGGATGTCCTTGGAACGAGTTACTGCAACTCTGAGAAGGGTGGAGATAAAGACACGTTTAATTTTATTTACAAAATTTTATTAACATTTTTATTTGCAACGTTTTCTTTTCCTTCAGCACATTTTGTCTGCTTTCTTACCTGTAATAGGTGTTTTCGGTGCAGGGCTCATGTACTTGGACAATGATGAACACATGCTGAAAGTGAGAACGGATGGCTTTGGGGGTGAAGGGTAAAGCACCTGGCTCCTGGAAGACTATAGTGATGATGTCATTCCCTATGTGCCTCTTCCTCAGCAACTAAAAGAGAAATAGAGAAAAAAACATAGACTTTTAAATTCTAAATGCAGTGACTTAAATGAAAAGTGCAGTATACTGAAGCCATCGGACGCTTGTGAAAAAGAAGTGTGCATAATTCTACTGAATGTGCATTTGTAGTGTTTTCAAATCTAAAAAAGTATATTTAAAAAAAACTACTTGAATATAGTATTAATGAAATAAAAGGCCACTTAAGTGACTTAAAAATAGACTGTTTCTTAACACACTTAAGTACACTTTTAAAGCACTTTTAAAAAAGTTTTTCTTTAAAGTGCATTTTAAATCATTATGTTTTAACAATCTTGATGCTTTAAAGAAGTACACTTATTTTGACGTGTTGACTAACATACTAAAGAACATGCAAAGTACTATTATATTTTTAACTGTACCGTGTTGTTCCATATTACAATTAAAGTTAATATATTTTTAAATGTACTAAATTGCAGATTCATCATCACAAATGTGTAATTACAAATATATTTAAATACGTAACATACAAGTTGAATTAAAATGACATTAAAGTATATTTTATTTATCATACATGCCTGTCAGTACATTCAGCAGTGCTTTAGCCATATTTCATAGACAACATAGTTATGAAATTACATGTAAATATGTACTTAAGTGATACTTAAGCTGGTCAAAAAAGCAGCCTATAGTGTTCAGCTAACTGCATTTAATATACAATTAAACTATAATACATTTCCATTTAATTCTAATTAACATGCAATTATGAGTCTGAAAACACTACATTCAGTTCACACTTAAGTATATTCTTTTAAAGTACACTATTTCTGCAAAAAGTACGGTTTTTAAATGTATGCTAAAGTATATTTATTTTGCACAAGGGGAGACACCAGGAGATTTGCACATGCAAATGAGATCCCAATGCATATCCTACTGCTGATTCATATGATTGTGCTATTGATATACTGTACACTCTAAAAAATGCTGGGTTAAATACAACCCAGTGCTGGGTAAAATAGGGACAAACCCAGCAATTGGGTTGTTTTGGCCCAGCGGTTGGGTTAAATGTTTAACCCAACCTTCTGGGTAGTAACCCAACCGCTGGGTCAAAACAACCCAATTGCTGGGTTTGTCCCTATTTTACCCAGCACTGGGTTGTATTTAACCCAGCATTTTTTAGAGTGTAAGTGGTGCTCAGTTTTAATGGGACGTTCTAGGGTTGTGTAGATTACCTGTTGTGTATTGTTGGATGTGTATGGAAGCATGGTGGAGACATGGAACATAATCTCGTAATCCTGATAGCGAGTATACAGTGAGTGTGTACCAGTGGAGTCAGCTGCAAATAAACACACAAACACTACTATCACACATCCAATCAAAATCTGTTATTGTCACTCTCTGTACAGTTTTCTTTCTATTTGCTGCATATACACTGCTGTTCAAACGATTTTTAAAATGTTTTTTGAAGGAAGTCTCTTATGCTCACCAAGCCTGCATTTATTTAATCAAAAATACAGTAAAAACAGGAATAAGAGTAAATAAGAGTTTTCTGTTTAAATATATTGTAAAATGTCACTTATTCCTGTGAACAAAATATAAACACCAAGTTTATGTGCAAAAAATATGGGAATTTACATTTATTTTTTCATGGAACAATTATAAAAAAGAAAAATAAACAATATTGTAATTACAACGTACTTACATACAACACATGCGATAACACTAATACTATTGTACTATGGTGCAATTGTATGAAGACTGACTGCATGTTGAGTTTTGGTCTCACTTTTGGTGTCTAGTTGAGCTCTGTATTTCTCCCAGCCCTTGAGTCGTACTCGCTCTCCAAGAAGGTCCAGAAACTCATCGAACTCTGGCCCGGCGCTCTCATTGTTATACATGTCCTCTTCAGTACTCTGTCCTGCTCTGCAGTACATAATGCCCACCTTATGCTGGAAATTCAACTTTACACACACATAAAACACACATTAACAAGGATGAAATTACAGTAACTTCTCCAACTTGATTTTTACACACACAACATCATTCTTCCTCATTTTGTCATTAAGCCAGTTTCACATTGTATGCACAAGTGTAGGTGCAGTAACAGCATAACTGCAAAAGCAGTCTTGCTATAGCATTAGCAATACATACAACAGTTATACATACAACAGTTATAGCAATACATACAACAGTAGTGCATGCAACAGTTTCACATTGTATGCACAAGTGTAGGTGCAGTAACAGCATAACTGCAAAAGCATATATAAAAATATACATATGCTTCTACAAGGTATATACATTTAAATTTTACAGTCTGATTGGAAATGCATTTACATTTATCTATTTGTCAGTGCATTTATCAGATGCATGTATCATTCACTTTGCAAAAGCAATTCGTCATAGAGTCAACTAGTTCATAGAGTCAACCAGGTTCATTAGACTACTAAAATAGGAAGCAAGGCAGAGAAGAGGAGAAATGCATTGAGGAACAGTACTTGTCAAGCCAGTTCATGTGACTTTGTGTTTGAAATAGGAGTTGCACCAACTCTCTCTATATATATATTCACAATATAATTTTTTAAGATGTCAGTTACATCAATATTTCTAGCAGCCTATCAGTAACCTGTAAACACAAGCTGTCAGTCCTGCAGAACTACAGAAAGCAGCTCAACATAACATCTCTTACCCCCTGCTCGTCCAGTTTGAGGAGCGTGTCTCTGACTTTAGGGGATGTGGAGGCTAGTCTGAGGCAATGTAGGTTGAGATTGGGCAGAATAAACTCCAGCAGTCTCTTGGGCGAAAGGCCGCGTGGTGTGGTGTGGCGCGCTGCGGAGGGAACCGACTCCTCCAGGATCGAACCTCTCAGGGTCTTCAGCTGCAGGAAAACAGCAGGGACCAATTAATTAATGAGTGCAAAAGACATAATGTAGACTTAAAGGGGTCATATCATATATTTATTTTTATATTTATTTTCCCCCTTAGGTCGATAATGTAATGTAGATTGATTTACAAGCTATCAGAATCGCATTGATTTACAAGTCAGAATTTCATCTTACTTTTAGACCAAATAAACCAGCTGCACCAAAAGACAGTAAGTTCCCCTCAGACATACATTCATATAAACTCCTACCCCTAACTGAATTGCGATTTGTTTAGCATCTCAACCGATTTGAATCGTCACCGATTTGAATCGATTTTCAACCGGCTCGCAGTTAATCGTTACAGCCCTAGTTATTGCTGTATTACAGGAACTTGCTACTGCCAATACATAAGCCGATATGGTGCTGTGAGTATTTAAGACATACTGCTGCAGCACAAATAGCATATAAAATAACCCATAGCAGACCTATACAGGTGGAGCTGGGGAAGGTGGAGGGTTTCAGAGTAACTCTGAAAGCACGCTGCAATGCTCAAGCGAATGCTAATCAGCCATTTAAATGTAAAGCAGCAAGCTCATTGGCTGCGTATGCAACGGGAACCAATCAGCTTGTGACAAGTCGTTTAGTGCTAAGAATATCATCAGTTACGTTAAGGACCCATAGCCTGTGCCATCTAGAGTTTCATGACAGGACTTGGTATTTTTCTCAGTTTGGGCCTCTGAATAAAATGTAGGTATTTTTTAATCCTCTTTCAGCTTTATATTCTTTTATAATATAAGAACCATAAAAAGCCTGATTTATCAATTATGATACTCAACAAAAACACATATGCAAACATTTTTTTTGTCTATACCAATGTAATGTAGTGTTGCATTCAGAAATTAAAAAAAATTTAAAATTAATATTGATTAATAATGTAATGTTCTAATTTTGATTTTTAAAAAATAATAAAACGAAAGGGGACATTTGAGTAAAAACATTCTAGTGATCATCTCTGATTCATTTCAAACAAAATCAAAAGCAGGGAGTGGGTGGAAAATTGTCTTATTTCTGACCATTGTTTATAGAAGACATGTAAAGCATTATAAGTGGACCTCAAGGAAAAAATAAAAATGCTAAAAAATATTAGATAGTTCCTTTAAATTAATGGGTGAAAATGTTTCAAAATCTTCTCCGATGACTTCTGTGTGTGAGAGAGTCTTATATTTACTTCAGTGGTCCTGAAAATGATTCTGTAGTTGTACTGGGACCCACTTGATCCCTCTTTTTCCTCCCTGCGGAAACTGACGGCCACCGGCCCCAAACGCTCGTCCATGCCAAAGAAATTCTGATGGTCTGGAATAAAAGATTGAAATGAAGGTTTTAACAATTCATACGAAATGCTATAAATAAATAAATGTGACAACAAGAGAAACAAACACCAGAATACTGACCACTAGAAAAAGAGGAACTATGATTTTGTAACCTTTAACGGCTCACGACTGAGATGAACAAACATGCATTACAGGTAAACCACTGTACAAAATGTATGATAGTGTCAAAAGTCTGGGTCAATTTTGTTCCACCTGTATTATGAGCTTAACATCCAAAGTGTTTTTTTTTTCTCAACATTTGCAACTCTACACTGCTTTTAAATAGCAAATTATTGGGACGCTTGGACATCAGAGCATCAAGGTATAGACTTCATTTAACTTCATAGTACAGCCCTTTTCAGAGCTCAAGACAGACAGACAGATGGACGGACAGTCAAAAAAAAAAATGAAGTCTAATATATTCCCCCCTTTTAGATTTCATAGGCAACTATTACTACTTTTAGTAATTTTAATTCATAATAAATATTGTAAATAAAAAGATTGTAATTTTGTGCATTGCATCCTCTGCAATCTTACCCTGGCATTTGAGAAATCTGAAGTCTGATTATACTTTGAAGTGCAGAATGAGTCATCAAAATTGCTGATCTGTACTCTCCGCACCTCTAGATTGAGAACCACTGCAGTAATGCATACATTGTCTAAAAAAATATACGTACACAATTATACGTCATAAATAAAAAAAGCCATGATTAGAGGAGGACAGAGTGCCCCTCGTCACATCTAACTAAAGGCACTGCTTGCTCATCTGGACAGACAGTCTCCCTGACCACTGCAGACCCAAAAGTCTATCATTTTAACTTGAAAAGTATCTCAATAATTTTTTTTAGTCTGTGGAGCACAAAAGCAAGTCTAAAACGAAATGTTAGGGACTGACAGCCTTCTTCTGAACAACTCACAGCACTGAATGTGAATGGTGACTGTTGCGCCATCTGTTGTACTGTTGTGGGTGAATTTGCATTTCGTTAAGCCCAACACATATTTTGTGTTAACAGGCCATTTGAATGTCATTCAATAAACTTTTTCTGCACTACAGAATATGCGTTCTGTGTGAATGGCTTGGTTTAGGTTTTTAACCTAATCAAGATCTTCTCCGCATTGAGCTTCTATATTTCTCTAATATTTTGAATGAATAACGCAGCACCGGCGCGTCTCGTGGGCTAGACTAACAAAACATTAAACTACAACGTCACTTACATCATTATCACCGCATCTCGCGTGCCACTGATGACGCTCCCTGACGCACACCTAACATTGCAAATGTTTATTTTAAATTTGACTAATATTCATTCTTTATTTACAATCTCCTCATCACAGGCAGGTACAGCACTCATTTCAGCATGTGTTCATGTTTGCGTGTGCTGTCTGCGTCACTCATAGTGCGCTATATCGAAAAAAAAAATCCTATCGTTATCGAAGAAGGTGTACCGTCGATAAATATCGATACCGTTTTATCGCCCAGGCCTATTTAGGAGTATGACAGCTTATCACATGGGCTTAGAGACTTTGTACCTTATCTACCATTAAAAGGTATATATTAGTACAGTAACACAGTATGTAGAAGTAACCCTTAAGGTACTACAATGAACCTTTTAGGGGCAAATAAGTTATTTACTTTTAAGGTGCACATTAGTACCTCAGAGTAGTAATAGAGTAGTGTACAGAAAAAAAACAAAAAAAACAAGTACCTTGGAGTTGTAATACTCTATATAGTAGTAGCCCATAAGGCAGTGGTTCTCAACTTCAGTCCTCGTGACCCACTGCTCAGCACATTTCATATGTCTTCCTTATTTAACGCACCTATTCAGATCATCAGTTCATTAGGAAAGAGCTCCATGAACTGAACCGAGAGGTTGTTTAAGGCCAAAGTATACTTCCTTTTTTTTTTACGTGTACGAGCACCGTTGTACACGTAGCCTTTCAAAGTATAGTCCATTTAAGGTGTACGCGAATGCAGACGGTCTACATATGCACTCTAGAAAGCTTCATCTTTGTGTCTGCACTATTTTTCTCCAGAAGTTATGACCGATATAAATGTCTTTGTACTCTTTTAAAACTAAAGTTGCTGCTCTCTCTCTCATAACCCCCTCACACGAGCGCTCTTCAATGTAGCCGTGTGTTGTTGTTGCAGTCTCTGCTATTTTGTTGTTGTTTCATCTCTTTAGATTCATTTTCTACTGTGAAACAATGGCCTGGGCTAATGTTGCCAACTTGTGGAACAAGTGAGTAGTGCAAAACCAAGTTAATGCGCATGTGTGACCTGCGCATACAAAGTACGCACAGTTACAAAAATCAGATGGTGCTTATACAATACGTGCGTACTATTCTGATGACAAAATTTGCATCACGCGTACTGTATGCGGACCCTCGTTTAAGCGTAAAAACCGAAGTATACTTTAGCCTTTACACAACACCGTTTTCAACTAATAACAGAATTTTTTTTTTTTGTTTTGGCCATTCATTTACACGACAACTGCGTTTTGGAGGCCTGAAAACACAAACTTTTGAAAATGTTCTTTCAAAGTGCACATTTTTGAAAATTATACCATTATCATCTCTGTGTAAACTATGAAAATGTGAATTTATGAAAACGGTGACGTCATGCGCATGCATTTTACATGTTCAGTCTATAGGAATGTGTATGTGCGCAGATGCATAGTGTCTCTTTACAAAAAGACATCGCCAACTACTGGCCTGGCATGCATAAATACTGCTTGTTTAGTTGTTTTCACGGATCGTCCTTATTTAACGTACTTGATTCAGATCAGCAGCTCGCTAGGAGAGAGCTCCATGAACTGAACTGAGGATGCGTTTACACTTGGCATTAACATGCGATCACCGTGGCATGATCCGATCAAGCAGATCGGATCATCAGTCAATCAGGACACGGCGCGTTTACACTTGGCAACATCAAGTGACTTCTCTATCTGGATAACCGATCGGATCTCTCTTTCCCGTGCAATATTTAAATAACATTCCAATCAGAAGCACGTTTACACTTGTCTTTTCAATGTGTATGTGGACAACATCCGGATACAGGTCGCATGTTAATGCCAAGTGTAAATGAGTGTGTCAGACAAGAAAGACATACAAAATGTGAGGAGCAGTGGGTCCCGAGAACCAGAGTTGAGAACCACTGCCTTAAGGACCCTTTAAGGTGCCTATGAGTACCTTAGAGTAGTAATAATTTATGTTTTAGTACCCCTTAAGGTGTGTCTTTAATAATCAAATGCTTCTGAAGATCTTAATCAGCTGGTTTGGGTGTGTTTGATCAGGGTTGGAGCTGAACTTTGCAGAAAGGTAGATCTCCAGGAACGGGATTGGGAAACCCTGCCTTAAGGTACTACTATGAACCTTTTAGGAGTAAATAAAGTGGAAAGATGTTCCTTTAAAGGGTACCGGCCCAGTGACAAGCTGTTGTACCCATAAAAGTATGATTTTTGCAAATGTTTCTGAGAGTAAATTAGACTAAGCAGTGAAAATGAGTATGCAATATGTTTCTTCAAAAAGTGCAAACATGCTTTGCCACACACACACACACACCCTCACCTTTCATGTAAAAGTACTTGTGATAGTATCGAGCCCCAAGGTCTGCATGCTCTATGAAGTAGTTACTTTTACCCTGTGCCTGGACATGGCTCTCCCTGGGCTCCTCTAACATGGACACAGCATTGTTGGGACTTTGAAAACTCCTCCACCTGTGCCTGCCGGCCCGCGGCAGGCTGAGCCCCACGCTCTCCTCGCCACCCATCTCATTCCGAAAGTGAGGACAGCTGAGCAGGAGATCATTATCGTTCCCATCTCCTTCATCCAGCAAGGACTGCTCTACATCTTCCGAGCCAGTCCCGTTTCCTGAGCCGCCCCCTCCACCCTGAGAAACTGAGGAAGGCGTGGATTGTGAAAGTGGACGGAGTTGAGAGGCAGCTGACGCACCGGACGTGATGTTCTTCTTGCGTCCAATGCTGTCCCGATTGGTTGCAGCCTCCGACAGGTCGAAGAGAATGCTCTGTACGTCATAGTGTGCAAAATTGCGCACCCAAGCACCACCTGGGACTTGGTCACAGGAAAACTGAGGGGCCTGCAGAGGGGACGATTTGGCCTTCTTACCGAGCCCCTCTGGTTTGGGGGGCTTGACCGGTTTTGACGTGTCTGCTGCTGGAGCACAGTTTCCTTGATACTCTCCGTCCACTTCAGGAGGTGCCTCTTGCAGACCCAGAAGAACAAACGGATCTCTGAAGCGCAAGGCACTGGGACTGAGAACAACTTGATCTTCCGAACTGGGATCTACAATCTGGGTTTGTCTTTCTAGCGAGGACAGGCTTCCGTACTCTCGGTGGAGGGAATCGCCCGGCCCCACAGTCCCAGATTTGTCCACCCCTACTCGGAGCAACTTCCTCCCTACTTGCCCCACTGAATCCAAATCTCCAAGGGTGACATCACTGTTGCTGCGCTGCATTATGTGTCCACGACCTACCGTTCTCAGGTTCAGTGCAGCTGCGCTGGGTGTGACAGTCTCGCTGTTTGTTCCCTCTCCCTCTCTCCTAGGAGGCCATTCTGCCACAACTCGTGTCCGCATGCTACCACCATCCTGCTTGGGGTCAAAGTTCACTCTCGCTAGGGTCGGGCGTGGGCTCTGCCTGCGGAACTTGCGGATGAAAAGATCGTCTGATTGCATGATTTGAAGTTGTGGGAAGCTCTCACTTTTCAGTTGCCCTTGTCCCTTTTGTTACACCTCCCCACCAAAATACTGCATCTGTGTGAATAAGGAGTTTTTGGGGAACTCAAGTGACCAACATAAATGTTTCTGTTCTAGCCATGAACACTGAAATTCTCCAGTGCTGCCAGAAGAGCTCGGTTCAATAGGTTCCTCATTCACTAAAATATTCAGAAGGGTTGAGCGCAACCTTCTGCCTTGGAATAAAATAACAGCCGCACAGGCTCCAGAGATGATTTCAATCTCTCGGTAAACATCTTAAGGTCTAACATACAGGATTACTCTCATCATTAATGTTAGAGGAAGCATCCAGCAGAATGACTATGATTGTATGTGGACTGACTGAAATTGGATTCCCAGTCTGATTTATTCTGAGTCAGGTACGCCTCGTGACTCTCCGTTCACAGCCGACCACAAGATCTGTGCCCTTAGAGACCACGGCTGCATCCTCCACTGTATTCCTGAAACAAAATGAAACAGGTTATTATTAGTTTGTACGTGATAATAGATGTTGCATTTTTTCTAAATGACATTGTGTTGCATGGCAGTACATTATATGCTGTGGTAAAATCTGCTGAACCACTTACACTGTACTCTGCATTGATCTGTGCGGCTATTAGTTGGAACGACTGCTTTAAGTTATTTATATTAGAGTGGTTTGTTGATTGACTTTAAACAATCACTTACTTCTTATATTAAAAGTGGTCAGACTTTTGTCATGTGGACAAGGTTTAACAATCCGACACTAAGCAGAAAACTACAATCTGTGTACTGTTTTTAATGCTGAAGATGGAAATGAGCAACCTCTTTTCCCAACTAATAAAGCGCAGAGAGTACCATAAGAGACAAACGTGCTGCACATTCAGTGATCCATTTAAGCATAAAGCAATTAGCTCTGTGCACATGTGTTTTGTGAAGAGCGTTTGCAGTAATATGGACACACATCTGAATGATCGAATACACTTCAGAATTTGGTCAAAATACTTGTCTTGGCGAGTATTGGCACAGATGGTAATGTCTTGGAAATGTAAACATGCCAAACAACAAATATGTCAAACGAAAACATTAAAATCAAAAGTTGTGCTTGTTAACATAAGTTAATGCACTGTGAACTAACATGGACTAACAATGAACGACAATGAACAATGAATGTATTTTCATTAACTAACATTAACACATATTAATAAATACTGTAATGTATTGTTCATTGTTTGTTCATGTTAGTTAATACATTTACTAACATTAACTAATGGAACCTTAGTGTAAAGTGTTACAAAAATGTCTTGGTTTTATGATATTCCTTAAAAATACTAATATTATTATTATTATTATTATTATTATTATTATTACTCTAGGAAGTTCATTTTAGTATACAAAAGCAATACCTATATCTGTGTCATAATTTCTTCAAGTTAAACCAAACCTTAATTTTGATGGGTTGTCATGAATATCTTTGATTTTCAGTGTGTATTTGACAGTATTTTTCTCAAATAACACAGTGAAAAGATTGTGAAGTGACTCGCAGAGCAGCTCTGGAGATGAAGTGTTTGTGTCCTCACATAGTGAGACGCAGATGCTGAAAACACCATGAGCGTCACATGTGTTTGAGTTTGTGTATCAGACAAAACCATGCCATTCATTCACACAGAGACACACAAAACATGCAGACTTATTAGCCACACGCACACACACAGCTGATTGGGCCGTCTTATCACTTACCAAAAAGATTAAGAATGTCTAATCCAGCTGTCTATTCTAGTGAACCTCCAAATTAAAATACAATTGATTTGAACTGCATAAGCAGGCTCTTTTGGAAACAGGGACTGCTCACATTAAAAACAATGACAACAACAAAAACCATGTAAGAACTTCAATGTTATATGTATACTGTACATGTGGCTGTGTAATTGGGCATGTAATACCTGACACACAAGCATGTATCTAACAAATAATGCACATTTGTCTTGCAACAAGGGGGCGGGGGGATCACAGGCCTATTTAAACGTCAGCGCAAACATGATGTGGTTGCTAAGGTAAAACCGTTTTTATTTTTATACACTTCCTTTCAGTCAAAAATAGCATAGAGACTATGGCGTACATCAGACCACATCCACCCAGCAGACCTGCACAATAGCTGCTCTGCTCACAGGAGGAGGGGGCTTCCTGCAAACTTTGCCAATACATCGGAAAGTACTCATAAAATATGCAACATTGTTTGCCAAGTTTTTAAAGTCCAGGTTGCATGATTTTTGCCTTACTATTTGCTCCTGCACACACCCTCTTTCAGGATCTCTATCTCTGCATTCTGGTTTGTTGGGGAAAGGAGGAAGAGGAAGAGGAAGAGGAAGATTAATATCACAGACACATGCCTGATGACTTTTGTTTTGATAAATAATAATCATTAAGAGTTCTAAGGTATGAGATGTAGTGTCACATAAAGTTTGGCGCATGTAGTTTATTCTGCAACAAAATTAAATATAATCTGAATTATTATGGTGCCCACTGTGGAAATGATTAAAAAAAAAAAGTATGGCAAGCAGTTTTGTATTTTAATGTCACCAGTTTGAATTACACTACAGACACAAACATATACATTTTAGCAGTGAAAGCAGTGACATTTTTAATCTCAATCATGACTTGATGACTTTTGACTAGTAAAAATGGCATCTTAAGTCATAATTTATATTATAAAGCTCTGCGACCAAATTTTTACTCCTCATCAAATGCAAAACAAACTGTTTACACATCTCTTTCTCTTTTCAAATCTTGCTGAAGGTAGACATTGTCATTTATGGATATTGGCATTTAGCCAACATATTCAACATTCCTCCATCCATCCATCTTCCATGTAACACAAAATACTATAGTACAGTCCATACTGTGATCTGACTCCTGGAGATACAGAGAACGCTTTGAAATTCAATGGTAATGTTCTGCAACTGCTTTAACGCATTATTGGCCTCATCCACTGCCCACTTTCTCGCCTGGCTTATTATTAAAGCCTCAATTAATATTCATGAGATGCAATTACCATAATGAGTTGCTTGTGAATAGATGCAATTCTGACTAGTACGAATTACTATCGCAGAAGTCTTTAAGTACATTTTTACTAGTAATAATGAATTTGATGATATCTATAATGCTATTCCAACCTTGTAAAGATCTTACAATTACTATTTTATTCTCACCAAATGTAATAATTTTAGATATCTGTAACTTTAAATTGATGAGTACGAATATAATTCTGACTAGCCAAAAATGAATGACTAGTTGTAATTACAGATTATAATAGAATTACAGTCTAATTTTGACTAGTCTTATTAAATTACAGATATCTACAAGTTAAGTAAATTAAGAATAACCTGAATGTGACTGTTTTTGTCTTAACATCATTAGACAGCTCTTGAATTAGACTTGTGAAAACTCAACTGTAGGTCTCTAAAATTAAAAAAAGGAAGTCAACTGAGACAAAGAAATATTCTGATAACTGAATTCTGCATATCAGCCCATCCGATACAAGCAATGTTTTTTTTTTCTTAATTTAAATCAGTGTAACATGTCCATACTTCACTAACATGCTAACTAAACAATATAAAAAAAAAAAACACAAAATAAAAATACAAAAAAACACATACCTATGACAAATTGATGCACCCCTAGTCAAAACTGCATTCTAAATTATATATCTAAATTTGCATTAGCCAGAACTGAATTATGACCAATAATGCTGGAACCTTTAGGATAAATTGGCTTGCCATGAAGACACTAAAATAATGTGTTGTCGTTTTGGTCAGATGTAAAAAGCACTTAAAAAAAACATAAATCAAAATATTTGACATGAATGAGGCCATCTGGGGTTCTTGCAAAAATCATTATTATGCAATGAACATCAAAAGTTGTGTAAATCCACAATCCTTCATTCCCTTCACAATTCTAAGCCTATTTCGTTAAAGACTGGTGTGTGCTTTTTAGCTTTAGCCATTATTGTTTCACCTATTTCATTAAAACTTTCAACATTAAAGTATGGTCCTTCTTATGTTTCCAACATTTAATCAATGGATGGCTCCACACGCATCCACAGATGTCTGGGCTAAACCCAAATATCCATTGACCCCAGGACCGCCCTGAATAGATCATGTCTTTCTCCGCATCGTTTTTGAGCTGATGTCCCGTTTCTTTCCTATGAGCATCCATGCACTAAATTGCATCCAAATGTCGCTAAAAAGAGGGCAGCGCAATCAGAGCAGTGTTAATAATCTGCCTGCCTCCGACTCATCAACGCTTAAACAAATCGCTTAACGATAAAATGAGCGTTTATATGACAACAAAGGCTGCTTGCACTGAATAGACGACGATATGAATCATTGCCTGCTACATTTCAGCAATGCCAACCGGAACAGGACGAAGTCACCGAACGAACAAAGAAGCGAACGAGCGCATCCTTTTTCACTTACAGGACGCCGCTACTGTCTCCGTGCCGATTGCATCAGTGGCAGTCGGTGTCACTCGCATTAAAAACAGCGTTCTCGAATGAAACTCACCGACAACAAAGCGATGTCTGACAGCTGTCTGGTCTTTTCCGCTCTCGGGTAATTCTTGTCGAACTGACGTTTTTCAGCCTAAACCGTAAGCTCGACTAATACGCCGTTTTTGCACAGCGACTTCCTGTGATTTGCAACCTCGAGAACAGGTGCAATGGTGCAGCGAGCCCTTCCGATGCGCGCGCCAGCCAAGCTCCAACACGCAAGCACTGCGGTGATGTATTTTAAAGGTGAACGACGAGGATTTGACGGTTTCATCTCTCTTGCTCTCTCTCTCACTCACACACACCCGGTTCAGCGAGTGTCCTGATCTCATTTCACACTCTCCTCTCTTGAAAGAGACGGTTTTTCTGCTTAGTGCAGATTTGGGGGGAAAATATGCGCACTGAGCAAATGCAGCAGAATCGAATGCCAGAACTGGTGCTTCTCCCTCATTGTAAAGGCCGAAATGTTACACGAAATAAATAATTCGTTAGATTGGTGGGCAACTGCACATCTAATTGAATCGCCAAGATTGGTTTATTTAAGAGGAATGAACGCTTGTTTTGGTCAACAGATGTTAAAGCAATCCAATAAGGGATTCAACAGAATCTGTAGTGCATTTCGTGTTAATTATGTTGTGCATTTATTTAACACATTTGGTTACTTGTGCACTGTCTGTTTCCTCTTTCTGATATGGGAAATGACTGAGACCCCATTCTCAGTACGTCGATTCAGCTTTCAGTTTCACTTCCAATTTTCTGACATTTTATTTAAAAAGTAGTACAGTTTTTTGTTCCTATAGCATTTTAGATTTTCATGTATTTGCACAAAGCTTTCATGTCCTTTATGGTCCAGCCTTATCACTGAGCACTCACATGAGTAATTGTTTTTAGGCCTTGTTTTCAGAATTGTTTTTTAAAGCTAATGATGTCCTTTAGACATGTGTCTCATTATGTGGTTTGTGTTTTGCTTGTATGTTTGTGGGTAAGAGGATATTTTGAACTTTCAGTGGAGACTAGCTATTGCATGTCTTTTTGTCATTTATGTTTACACTACATAAAACATTTGGGATGCATTATCAAACATCATAAATATTTCATAGTGTCAATATGATTGTGGCCTTTCTGCTTTCTCTCACTTATTTTCAGTTCCTGGTGCATCACCTGCTAATGTGTTTTTTACTGTTGTGAGTTCATGCATGAATAATTGGTAGCTGGAAATAGATGCAAATATGTTCTATATCTACAAATCTACATATAGATCATTGCTGATTGGGAACTAAAATGTAAATGTTGGCATATTATATGTTCAGGCTGCAAATATTAAGTCTTTATTGGGCAGGGAGTCTGATTTAAGATGAAGGAACAACCATTCATGCTGAAGGGTCAAAACATGTAGAATAAGTTGTACTTTCATAAGTATAATTTATGGACTGGCAAATATGCAAGCACAAACATAAATCAGCATTATAGGATAATATATTAATTTATGTATTTATTATTATTATTATTGCCGAAGACAACGTAGCTCTTAGATGCACTTGGTCAACCTGACCTTTAACACAAACACAATTTTTTGATGCATTTATCTAAAAACCGTGCTTTATACGTTCCTTCGAACTAATTTGTAAAGTCCCTCTGCTGTCACTAATTTAATTTTATCCCTAAAACGCACCTTTGATAATCAAAATGACATATTTAAATGTTTTTTTTTTCCTGTGCAAATAATTTCTTCATGCCTTAAAATGACTTAAATGTAACTCTACCCTTACCTCATTTAGTGTATGCAGATTCATGAATATGCAAATTAGCCCCGCCTCCACTCAATCACACCTGCTCTACTTTTCACCCGGTTATCTGAAGTTGTAAAATCACAATGGCAAGTAGCAATATTGCATTCATTCAGCCATGTATGTTTGAACCAGAAGCTGACTCCAAAGAAGAAGAGGAAGAGTGAATTATACAGTGTCCATGTAGCAGAATAGTAATGCATTTTATGTATCGCTTTGTACAGCGTCAGACATATAACAGTAATTGGTATCATTAGCCTTTGAGCTGACTATGTTATTAAACAGCTAATAATGTGTAGGTTTGTTATGAAAATTGTACATTTGTAAATTACATAAACTGTACACTTGTAAATAACATATCTGTACATGCATTTAAAAATTATTTATGTTTTTCTCTATATTTCTACCCCTGTATTATACTGCATTATTTAATTTTACGTTTTTCTTATATTAGTGTTATATTTCATCTCTACTGTGTAATGCATCATGTCTGTATGTCTGTACTTTCTTCTACACTGGAAGCTCTTGACGTCAAGACAAATTCATTATGTGTGTAAACATGCTTGGCAATAAAGCTCTTTCTGAATTTCGGACTTTTTTGTTCTCCATGTCCCCGCAAATTAGTATGCAGTCACTGCTTCCCCCCCCTGTATTTCATATATCCATATTTCAGCAAAACAGTTTTGATTTTGAAAATTGCAATGACCCATTGGGGCCTATGCAAAACACTTAAACCCTATCAAGTTGTGTCTCTTACAGTTTTAAATTCCCTGTATGCAGTGAGGGATTAAACAGTGAAAAGGCTTAAAAAGCTTTCAGTGTTGAGGGTTCTGCTGCACATAATGGAAACACATATACAATAAATATATGTTATATAAATAATAGTTCGATTGAAGAACAGAAAGCAGAGTAAAGGCGGCTGTGTTTTTTTATTTCAGAGAAACTGTATCCATGTTTCTTGCCTGCTCTGACCGTCACCCTTATTATAGGGCTTGCTTCCTGTTTGACAGGAAATGATGTGATGCTGCCTGACCTTTATGTATGCTGGGAGCATGAAACTGTCATGCCATGCTGCCTGGCCTGATAGAACAAGGTGAACTTCGGTTTGGTTCAATGTGTAGTTTCTCTCTACACTGTTTCCTCCACACTCATGTTTTGTAAGTGATTTGTACATTTTAACATTCGCTCTCATACAAAGCTAAATAATTTTTCCTAATTTTTGTCAATAAAATTGGAACAATGCATGTGTATACGTTGTAGATTGTATACAAAAAAAATCAAATGCTAGACCAAGGCCCTGTTTACACTATTAACATGTGTGATACAATCACAAGTGGTCAACCAAGACATATTGCAGTTATCACACGTCTCAAATGAAACTCCTGTGATCATTAGGGACTGGATTTAGTGTCCCTGAGATCTTGAATACAGTTCCCTTAATAAGAGAGATCTTCCACGAGACAAGTGAATTTGCAAATTTACATAAATTATTCTGTTCAAAAGTTCAAATATTCTTGGTTCTTCTTATCGTGTTTTACTTCCTCCTGCATAACGTCATGTCAGTCTGTCACTGCAAGTTGATATCATACTGAAGATGCTCTGTGAATTATTTCGCACATATTGATATTTATAAACAACTGATATAGAGGTGAGTAAAATAAAATCAATATTTACAGCAGTGCTTTTGATGGGTGATAATTTCACTTCAAGCGTTAGCCAAAAATGTCAAAAGAGAATAGCTTCACCACTTAAAACATTACAACATCCTGAGTATTCAAATCTTTGTAGCTGGATTATGGAATCCAACTTTGTCTTTATGTAAACAAATTATTATGGAATTAATACACTCTAAAAGAATATACTTAAGTGTGAACTGAATGTAATGTTTTCAGACACTTACATGCAAGTTGATTGCAATTAAATAAAAATATATCATAAATTTATTTACTTTTAAGTTCAGCTTATTGCATTTGACATAAGTTTAAACTATAACACGTTTTCATTTAATTGCAATCAACTTGCATTTAAATGTCCAAAAACATTGCATCTTCAATTTAATTTCATAATTACTTCTATTGTATTTTAAATATGATTAAAGTTCTGCCGACTGTTCTGATAAGCATTTATGGCACACTAAAATTTCTACAGAAACTTATATGTCACGCATTTAAAATGTAATTGTAATTACACATTTGTAATGATGAAGATACAATATAGTACACAAAAAATTAACTTCAAATGTGATATTGAATAACACAGTTAAAATGATCAAGTACTTCACATGTGCTTTAGTATGTTAGTCAACACATCAAAATAAGTGTAAAACACGACAAAAGATTACGATTATTAAACCATAATTGGTTAAAATGCACGTTAAAGTACAACATTTAATTTGACATTATTGGAAAGTGTGTACTTAAGTGTCTTAGGAAACAAAGTAATATTATACTACCTGCAAGTAGTTTTTAGTATCCACTAATATTGGCACCCTTGGTAAATATGAGCAAAGGCGGCTGTGAAAATAAATCTGCATCGTTTATCCTTTTGATCTTTCATTACAAAAATTCACAAATCTCTAACCTTTCATTGAAGTAAAACAACTGAAAGTGGGAGGAAACTCGCGTTATGAAATAAATGTTTTTCTACAATGCATGTTGGCCAGAATTATTGACACCCCTAGAAATTATTATGAGTCAAACATCTCTGAAGTATATTCCCATTCATATTTACGTTTTTTTTAGCACACCAAGGTGACTAGGAACATGAAATTGTCCAGCCGTGACTTCCTGTTCCACAGGATTATAAATATGAGGAACACAGAGGCCAAATTCCCTTAATCATCCATCACAAGGAGTAAAACCAAAGAATATAGTTCTGACGTGCAGAACAAGATTGTTGAGCTTCTCAAATTAGAAAGTGGCTGTAAGAAAAGAGCTAAAGCATTGAAAACCCCCACTTCCACCAATAATTAAGAAGTACCAATCAACTAAAGATATTAGAAATCTGCCTGGAAGAGGACGTGTGTCTATCTCGTCCTAATGCACGGTGCGGAGGAGAGTTTGAGTGGCCAAAGACTCTCCAAGGACCACAGCTGGAGAACCGCAGAGATTAGTTGAGTTTTGAGGTCAGAAAGCCTAAAAAAAAATATCAAACAGCTCCTACATCACCACATGTTGTTCGGGAAGGTTTCAAGAAAAATCCTCCTCGCTCATCCAGAAACAAACTCCAGAAAATTCAGTTGTCAGACATTACTGGAACTTCAAACGGGACTGGCTTCTATGGTCAGATGAAAAAAAAAAAAAGAGTTTTCTGGCAGCAAACCCACCAGGTTTGGTGCAAACAGGGATAAAAAGTACCCCATGGCCACGGTTAAATATACAGTTGGATCTTTAATGTTGTGGGCCTATTTTTCTAGAGGTCCTGGAAATCTTGTTCAGATATTGGCATCATGGATCCATATCAAATACCAACAGATAAAAAATCCGAACCTGGCATTATAGGAGAAAACTCAGAGCCGTTATCTTGAGAAAAGGACGTTGCAATAAATGGGTGCCAATAATTGTGGCTAACGTGAACTA